ACCTTGCACAGTGCCTAGCACATAATACCCTTAGTTAATGTGTGTCTGGATAAGTAGATGAACAAATGAAAGAGACATCCATTCTCTCCCCCTTATAGGCACCTAGCATAGGGTTGTTGGGCTGATCAAGTAAAAATACAGGACACCCAGTTACATTTGAATTTCAAATAGACAATGAATACTTTTTTTTTAGTATGAGTAGGTCCCAAATACTGCACGGGACATAGCTATATCAAAAAATTATTCATTGTTTATCTGAAATTCAAATTTAAGTGAGTGTCCTGTGTTTTCTTTGGCAACCCTTACCGAGCAAAAAAGTGAGTTCACCTAAAGTGGAAGTTCACACAAAGCAGAAACTGACTCTGAGCTTGACATCACATGCCCTAGGGCTTTGTATATGTATTGGTTTACATCCCTGAATGTCTAGCATGTAAATAGATCAGTGTACCCAGATGCACAGGCCTCACCATAACGCTCTGCTGTGTGCCACTTCATGCATGTCTTTTACTCAGAGAATGGATTTTTCTTTTCATGGCAAGGAAATTTAATCTATACATTTGGGTAATGTGGAGCAAGAAGCATAGTTTATTTGTGGGTTATCCCATGAGATATCCTCTATGATGGTGGTTTGTTATCGTTGGTGGAGATTTGGGAGGGTATTTGAAGAGGGAGTATAAAATATACCCTTGGTGTTGGGGATGAATGTAGGTACAGCAAGTTGTACCTTCTTAAAAGTCTATAAAACCTTGGGTTATAGGTATTAGGTTTTTCTTAGGGAGTTGAGACTGGAATAGCACTCATTCTTTGCTGCTGTGGCGAGGATGCCTGCTAACTGATGTGCTGAAGACAGAGGGTGGCTTTGAGAAGGAGTCCATACTGTCTCCAGTCTAATGAGGTTGTTTTTAGCAAGTTTCCTGTTAAAGTATCAGATAATTGGAGTATCATTTTGTTAGAAAGAAAAAAAAATTTTTTTTTCAAATTAGAAACACTCAAGTTTTTAACAGTTTATGTTTTAGGTGAAATAATATATTTCTCTGTGACTGGAAACAGAATTGAAATATAGCATATGTATTTCATCTCTTATACTCTCTCCTCCCCCCTCATGCCAAAATTGGTAATTAGGGAATTTCCACAGCTAGGACACTTGGGCAGAGTTTTGGATATTTACTCTGTAGGAATCAGACATGTTCTCTTAGGAAAAGCTGAATTTTAATGGCAGAAAGATTGGCCAAAAAAACAATCATGAAGCATTTTTGTGGCCTCAGTATCATGATCATGTCAGTAAAGCGATGGTCTCTGATTAAATCCAGATTGAGCCGTTTCCTGTTAGTGTGCTAACCCACAGGCAAGCTCAGCCCTCCATGTCTTGTTCTCGAAGTCTGTGTTATTAAACACTTGTCTGCCAAGAGTCCTCCCTGCCCTTTCTTTTAAATTTCAATTCAAAGTTGTGGAGATATTACAAACAAAAACAGGTTATAAGGTCTCTTAAAAGGCTTATGTAGCTATTGAATACTTTGCTGCAAAAACGAAATTTTAAAATTTTAGCTTCTCTAGGCTGGCCATAGGCATAGTGTATTTTGTGTAGCTGGCATGTGTACAATTTCATTTCAAAATGATTCCAGCAATAAGCAGCCAATTTTAAGTTTAATGCTTCATAAAAATGTCTTCTATTTGAATATTGGAAATAATGCATCTTCAAAAAACCTCGTCTTCCCCTTGCCAAAAAAAAAAAAAAAAAAAAGCCCATTGCCCTCGAGTCGATCCCCGCTCATAGTGACCCTATAGGACAGGGTAGAACTGCCCCATAGGGTTTCCAAGGAGTGGCTGGTGGATTCGAACCGCCGACCTTTTGGTTAGCAGTCGAGCTCTTAACCGCTGTGCCACCGGGCTCCTCCTCTTGCCGTGGCAAGTAGATATTAGGGTGCCTAGCAAGTCTTCTGAAAATAAAAATAAGCAAGTGCTCTGGTACCTTGTTAATTATTAGTTTTGAGAGAATGATGTTAGGCACCAGAGCAATTCCTGCACTTTGTTTTATGATAATTGTCATTGATGCTCATTCATTGCACTTACAGAATGATTTTTTAAAATATAAGTTTTTCAAAATATTTTACCAGCTGTCTGTTAGCTCATATATGGTTCTTCCTAATGTACAGATGCAAATACTGAGGAACAAAACATGTTAAAGTTACTTATGGACATCAGGCATGCAAATTGAGATTTTTTTTCCAGAGTAAAAGGAGGAATGAAAAGAAGCGACAGGATTAATGAGTAACATAATTCCACTCCCAAGGGGAAACCTTGGCTTCCTGCCAAATCTGCTTTCTGGCAGGAAAAGGGACCCACTTCATCATGTCCTTTGACAAGCATTTTTCTCTGTGTTTGAATTTTTGGCCACATTGATGTTCAGTGAAAAATTAGTTCTTTTAAATAGTCATTACTTTCAATAAGGAAAGATTCAGTTTTAAAGTGGAATTTGTGTAAAATATAAGTAAAATAAGGATCATCAAACTACAAAATTATTTGATAAAGAAGCCCCTGACATTACCACAAGATAAGGAAGCTTGATTTAGAGTTAGAGCTTGAATACCCCAGCAGATTGAGAAGCTATTCCTTTTGTTGTTATTGTTAATATTTGACATTGAAGTATTTTTTTTTTTTCAAGTACTGCTTTTTAATATTAGCCAGATTCTTAACTATTTTGGCCAGGTCTTTGAAAGTGACAAAAGCAGAAAAAACACAGAGCATCCTGAAAATTTGATATTAAGAGATTAAAGGAATATATATATTTGAAGATAAAAATTAACGTATTTTATAATCTTTTGATTTTTCTTTTAAGTGAAGTGACGAATATGAATTAAATTTTAAATGCATCACAGTGACTTATTAAACCAGCATTTTCCAACGTGTGTTCATTCTAAAGTTCTGCAAGATCCTCTGAGAATTAAAGGGAATCCATTTGGAAATGTCATATACCATATCCCCGTCTTAGAGTTTCATAACACTTCATTATGAGGGGTTACTATAAGCATATTAAAGATGTAAGAAATTCTGTGGTAAAGAAATATCTTTGACTTTGTTGAACCCTCTAGTTCCCAAACTTGATCACACAAACTTCTTTTTTTGGAACTATTGTTTTGCAGCACACACTTAGGGCAGCACTGTACCAAGTAATTAAAAATGTAATTAGACTTTGAAACCATGTATCCTTTTCATTTGCTGTTTCTAGTTAAAGGTATTTGAAGCTTCTGGGAGACAGATGGGTACTATTAGGCCTGTCTTAAAATTAGTATAAAGTGATAAAGAACAGTTGTTAGGCCATGTTTTGAATCAAAAGGCCTAAGAAACCTAAAGAAACATTCGGTATGTTGCCTGAATTAGATCACTCTCCTTAGTAAACTAAAAGTGTCTTTCAAAAACTAAATAAAGAAATAAAGCCATCTACTACATAATATTAATATCTTTTAGCGGTTAGCATGATGGCACTAAGCTATTCTAACCCCCTTTCTAAAAGCAGTTGCTGCCACTTTGTTCTTACACAGTCTTACCTGTTAATTTCCTTCCAGTGTTTAACTTCTGGCAGGCCAGGTGAAGAAAACGCAAATAATGCTACTTAATAAGCCCAGTGTCATCATTGAGAGATTCAGTGGCCTCTTCTTTGTCCCTCTCCTTTAATCTTCATGTGTCTGATTATTTAAATTTAGGAAAATCTGATACAAAACAATTCAAACTTAAACAATGCAGAGAAACTGCCTGGCGATTGTTTGCATCACTTAGAATAATTATTTGCTTTAGAAAAAGATTCATTACAGGACTCCTCTCAATAAGGCAGTTTCCCCAGTGCCTAAGAAGGACTAGTTAAATTTTGAAAATTGCATCTTTATATAATTTGTTAGGAGCAGATTTACGGCAGAATGTAAGGTACACCTATAGTTTCCTTAAATTTTATTATCCATACTCAAGTTTTAAGCTTTGAAGATTTTATCACCAATCAGTTATTCTGTATTATGGTTTATACCTATCACATACAATTATACTTATCCTATGGAGTGGCTGGTGGGTTTGAGCTGCCGACCTGTCGGTTAACAGTTGAGCACTTTAGCCACTGCGCCACCAGAGCTCCTTCAACAATGTGTATTTATGTTTTCATTCTCATGTGATAGCTACTTTTCACAAGCAAATGTTTTCTCTTTGCAAGCTTCCAGGAGGTGGGGGTCATGCATCCCACACCTCCCCGCCGCCCCATTACTCCCCAGACATTAGTCCAGTGCTGCTTGGTGCAGCCACTTCTCAGTTAACTCTGCTGATCTTGATGATGTTGAGTCAGAATGCACACTGCCTTCCATGGACTGAAAGATGTCAGAGCATGGTTCTGAATACCTCAAGATCCATGGAAAGCAACCAGTGGTGCACTTGTAAATGTTTAACAAAAGACTCACGGCGGAAGGGGGAGGATCCTAATTTTTAGTGCTTGCCAATTTCTATGGAGAAAATACTCCCACCACGGCTGATTGCAAGCTATTAACATGATGTCATCTGACTCACACAGTTTCTAAAATTTATCAATCAGCTCTCTCAAGCTGGTATGAGTCAGCTCCAGCACACCCCTGTCGGAGCTGTCTTTAAGAACACATGTGAAAACTTACCAAGGAACAATAGAAAGGGGAATGATTGATAACATTTGCTGAAGGCAATCCTAGGATCATAGAAAATAACTTTGATAAAGTATGCCAACAACCAAGTTATTGATAGGGGAGTAAGTAGAATGTAACCACTGTGAAATAATACATCTACGTCTAGAAAGCCAGGAACACACACACACCAATTATCATCACCACCACCACACTCACAGGGGAGAGCGCATTGCCTTACATGACTTACAGAGAAATTAAGTGAGAGTAAACAGTACAGGTTATGGTCTCTGGTTCTCAAACATTTCAGTGTTTTCGGTTTTACTTTAGGGATTCGTTTCTCCTGATCGTAATCCTTGATTTACTGTACAGGTTGAAGGGGACCAGCTGCCTCCAGGACATACAGTCAGCCAGTATGAGACCTGTAAGATCAGGACCATAAAAGCTGGCACCTTGGAGAAGCTTGTGGAGAACCTGCTGACAGCTTTTGGGGACAATGACTTTACCTATATCAGTATCTTCCTGTCAACGTACAGAGGTTTTGCTTCCACTAAAGAAGTGCTGGAACTGCTGCTGGACAGGTAAGAGTCTGAAGATGTTTGAGAGTTGATGAAAATGTAAGGCTGTTTGCAGAGCGAAGACATGAGGTTCTGAATCGCCTGCACTTGGTATGCTGAGAGGTTATGTGTGAGGATGGGTTGACTGGAAGGAATGACTTCTGGAACAAATGGCATGGAGATTATTCAGGAGACACCTATGCCCTGTTTCTGGGGGAAAAAGAAATCTCATAAAAATCTGTAAAAGCATTAAGAGCAGATAACCATAAACCTAGACTCAATTGTTTATGGATTTGCCACCCTAAATTTTTCTCCATGTTTTTGTAATTCTGTTTAATTCCAGTAGATAATCAATTGACTAGGATTCTTATAAGGTTGTTGTGAGGATTAAATGTGATAATATGTATGAAGTTGGAGCCCAATATTAGGCCTATAGGAAGTAGCTAATGAATGGTGGCTCCAGTAATGATGATGATGATAATATCTGTTAACAGCCACCATGTGTTGGCTGATTTATGGATATGTGCATAAACATGATCCTTGATCCATGTTGTGAAGTCCAATGCTACATATAGTAGAGCAGTGTACATTGTAATTCACACGTGGATAATCTTTATATTTTCCTCCTTATTTTTGCTTTATTTATAATTAAGCTTGGTCTTTTAAAAAAAACTATTGTTGAATTGACTTAATGTTGGGAGGAAGAAAACTGTCAGCCAAACAATTGTTTGAGAATCATGAGAATCCTCATCCAAATCCTTATATTCTGGGGTTTCCTGCATAAGGAAGGAAATGAGATAGGGTGTTTTTGTTGGTGGTCATTGTGGTTGTTGAGTATTGATTTTTGTTAACTAGATTTTTATTTTAAAAGTAATGCAAACTCGTTAAAAATTCTTACATTATAGAAAGATATAAAGAGAAATGTTAACATCTTCTTATATTGCTACTTTTTTCCTCCAAATAACATTTATTAGATTTTAAAAAATACATAGAAATTAAAAGAAGAAAAGTAAATAGACCATAATTTAACTAGGCAGAAACATGTATTAACATTTTATAAATAGAAGTAATCCATGTATGTAGTGAAAAGTTCAAACAATTTAGAAAATTACAAAATTAAAAAGTAAAAATCTCCTTTTCTGCAAGCTCTCCAGTCCCTTTTGTCCTAGGGAATCACTCTAAACCATTCCTTTTGTAGTCTTTCAGAATTTTGGGTGTGTGTAAGCATATACACACATATATATGGTACAAATAAAATCAGTATACAATCTCTTTTGCAGCTTTTTTTCCTTATCCATGTATCTTGAACAATTTTTCTCATTAAATGAATAATATATGTTAAGTGCTTAAAGCCAGTGGCTAGTGTCTTGAAAGCATTCACGAAATATAAGTTATTATTATTTCAATATCAGCACATATAAATAAACCAAAAAAAAAAAAAAACTAACCAAAAACCAAAACCAAACCCATTCCCGTCAGTTCCAACTCGTAGTGACCCTATAGGACAGAGTAGAACTGCCTCATAGGATTTCCAGGGAACAGTTGGTGGATTCGAACTGCCAACGTTTTGGTTAGTAGCCCAGCTCTTAACACTGTGCCACCAGGGCGCAGATTGACCATTTTCTTTCTAATGGCTTTATAGTATTTATTGAATGGATTACTCTAGGGATGGATATTTAAACTGTCTCTAGTTTTTTAATTTATTTTTTTTTAAATGTTGTGAACAGTGCTGCAGGGAACATCTTTGAACATATATCTTTTGAGTACTTGTTTGAGAATTCTATAGGATAACTTAATAGAAGAGTGATTGATGGGTCAAAAGATAAGGCATTTAAAAATTTAAAAGACATTTCCAAGTTGCCCTCTAAAAGGTTGCACCAGCCATACTCCTGCCCACAGAGAATGAGAGTGTCTGTTGTTTCACTTGCCTCAAACCCTTGGCAGCTGTAGGTATTTTCATCTCTACTGGTTCACCATTGAAAAATGGCAGCTCCTTGTTTTTGAGTTCATGTTTCTTACATTTATGAGTGAGACTTAGCACCTTTTCAGATGCTTATTGGCCGTTTGTGTTCAGGGTACTCTTTTCCTATCTTTTGCCCATTTTTCTTTTGAACTAGTGTTTATCTAATTATAACTTTTTGTATATTAAGGAAATCAGTGTTTGCTTATCGTATGTTAGAAATATTTTTTCTATGCATAGACACATATGGAGTGAAATTATTCGGATCAATGGTTGTTCAGGCGTTCATATTCAGAAATACTCACAAAGTGTTTGTTCTTTATCACACATTAGTCTAGTTATGATACCCTGGGCTGCAACACAGATAGGAAGTTTGATAGTTTCTTATGTGGCAGTACTTGAGAGAATATTAAGCCTGGGGTACAAACCTGTGGGGTTAGTGAGTCATTGCTTTCATAGTTCTTTTGTTTGCATATCTCAGATCTACAAAGAGAGCCTGAAGAATTACATACATTGTCTCTTTTTTATTCTTCATACTTATTAAAAGGATGTAGAATGTTAATGGTTGGCAGGCAGTTTGAGGTCAGAACATCAAAAATTCCTGCAAGTTTACTTTGGAATCAGCAACCTCTTCTCCTCATGGGATGAGTCCATTGATAATAAGCCACAGATGTCCCCTCAGTAAGGGATTGCATGTAAATTCCAGCTGCTCGTCATAGTTAGTGGACGGACACAAGGAGACTAGAGTGTTTAGTCTGTGACTCATCTGCATCCAGCTTTTATTTGCTGATTTCCTTTCTTTTTCTTTTTTTTTTTAATTCTCCAATCGTAATGGATAGACATTTTTGGATTTTTAAAATACTAACTGGATGACAATTATTCAATAACAGAATCCACGTTAATTCGAACTACATTTTTAAAGGTATAACTAAATGAAGATTTAAGATTTATTTTGTACCATCCAAGCTTGAATTTAATCTCACAGTCAAATCTTTTGCTTGCTTCTGAAATGAGTGGAATCAACAAGTACTGTGAATGCCTGTAAAATGCCCAGCACTCTACGAGACACCATATGGGTGCAATGCAGAGAAATCTGACTTGGTTCTTGCACTCGAGCTACTGTAGAGGTAGATTTACTTAAGTTCCCAGGCCCCTCACTTGCGTAGGCACCTTCCAGTACCCTCTACATAATTTTATATTCATAATTTTTTTTTTTTTCTTAGAGAGGACTCCTTAAATTATATGGACTGGCCTCACAAAACCTGGACCCACCCCTGAATACTTAATGTTTTACTCAAAAGATAAGGCTTAAAATCATGGAACAAGTAGACAACAGCTTAAGACAGTATAAAATGAAGGTCTAACATGTTTTACAGACGAAACAGGATAGAGAAGTTCAGCGAGATAAAACCTGTCTGTTTTCTCTACAGAAATTTGGATTTGTCCATATATGTACAAATCTCAACCCGAATATTTCTTCCTCACTCCAGTTTTTACTCATACTTTCAGATCTTGTGATCAGAGTTTAATCTCTAAATGAATTTAACCAAAATGCATATTCTGTGAAATACTGGGTTCTTAAGTTGATTGTTGGGGCTTTTAATGCCTGTAATTAGGAGGTAAGCAATTAAGTTGTACAAACTTACCTTTTCTGAAAATAAGCATTTGAAATAGTATTTTCTTTACAGTAAAATTGTGGTAGACTTGTTTGTGGGTCTCTGATGTAAATTTTTCATTATTATTTCTTTTTGTTTCTGAATAGTAGATAGTAGATGGATTATCTTCTGTGAAGTTAACACTGAGAAGTTATCAGAGGATGTACTAACCCTAACCAGTCAAGAACGGATTGAAGGCAGATGCTGCAGTATTTATTTCCCACTAGAGAAAAGCTTATTTGAAGTCAAGCTTTGATTTTCCTCAAGACTTCCAATCCTGTGACCTTTCTCATCTGGAACTGTTTTGTTTTCTGTGATTCCTTTTTTAAATCTTTTCATAGTTTCTTTGTTCTGCTAATATGAGCATTCATGATTGACCAAAACAGTGGTTTGAAGTTGTATATGGCTAATTCCCTGTGTCTGCTGTATCTCTTATTTGGGATGATCAGCAGTTCACAAGGAATCCTGTTTCTGTGCTTCTCACCATAGCTCAGAGTTAATTCTAGGGGTTTCCTTTGAACCTAAGAGAAAGTTCTTGAATTGTGGGTTAGTTGTTTGTATTGGGGGCTTTGATATTTTATTTTCTCTAACTTCAAACATACATTCCACCAAAACACCTATTCTTCGCACCACCCCATTTTAAAAAACTGAGACACCACTGAAAATGCCCAGCAAGGAGAAACCAACCTGAGCTAAGGATTCTCAAATGTTTACACAAATACCTAGATTTTTCTTCAGACACCTGTCACATCATCTACTTTGGGGGCTATTTCTTGATCTATATCTCTGGTATCAGAGTGAACAGAAAGCTGAGGACAAGCAAAATATGGGTGAGCCAGGACTTCAGAAACCTTTGCCAAGCCACTAATGGCACTCAAGTCACAGTTTGCAAACCACGGGGTAATCATCTGAATTATCGACTTCGTTACAAGTGAATTCTTCCAGTGGAGGACTTTTGGGGATGAGGAAGGTGAATGCCATTCCTAAGCACTATCTTTTAAGACTATAATCTGACTTGAATTTACTTGCTTACTAATTCAGTGTATCTTTGAATTTATTTCTTCTTCTCCTGTTTGTTTGCCCTGTGTTTTCACATACCTTATCTCATTTACTTCACTTATTATTGGTTTCATGTTTACAAATGAGCAATTTGAGACTCAAGAACATTCAATTATTAAATGGCACCTTTCCAAGCATACCATATAATCTCCCATGATTTGTTAATATCATTTTTAAAGGAAGGGATGACTTGGGAAGCCCCCTAGTCATCTTTTTCTATTGCCTCAATTGATTTCCCTTGGAAACTGCATTGCTTGAGGAGTGCTCCCTTCATATAGATGTGGGCAGTTCATTTGGCCATCAATGTTCTTATTCGTTTGTTCAAACAGTATTTGTCAGATTATTGTACC